GATAGATCTGTAGATCTATTCCGATACACTTCCGATTTAGGTTTTCTCGCAAGCTCAAAACCATCTTAGAGTCTTGATTACTTCGATGCCGGCCGGATATAATAAAATTGTGCGTAATGTATTGAGATCTAGAAAATATCGCCGACCGACTAATAAAGATGAAAAATGAGAACAAGAACGAAAGACGCTAATGTCTTAAATAGAGAAGAATCGAGAAACTATGACTTATAAGAATACATATTTATACACTCGAGGCGACAAAAATCGCTATTGCGTTAAAGTAAGAAGAACGGAAAAAATATCACATGTAAGAAAAACGTGTTTTTAAATACATGTACATGTATCCGTATATGTACACCGATATTATTGTTAAGGACCCGCGTATAGTATAAAATGCGACATATTACACAATTTTTTTTTTTAAATATATACTTATATTGCAACCAAACTTTGAATATATATATATATATATATATATATATATATATATATATATATATATATATATATATATATATATATATATATATATATAGGAGTGCAAATTGGAACGGATTTCATCGATCTCAATGCAGAAAATTTCGATTTTACAACAATATTTTTCATTATGGATTCCGAAAGTTTCGTTGTTTTTATTCTTTTGACCTTTTGTTTTCGAAATCGGCATATATAATACATTCTGATTTTATGTTCGATTTTAATTTTCAACAACATTTCCCATTTGATTATTTTCTGAAAATTAAACTTCATTATGTACTTTTTCCGTGCTTTCACCATCCAACGGTTCCTCCAAAAAATTGAATCCGTGTTATAAGTTGATTGAAGTTTTACTACGACGAAAACAATTTGTAAGAAAATCCATAGTTCAGACTGAAATTGCAAGAATCGTTACATGTACATCATCTATCTTCTTTGAATTTGATTTCCGCACTCCGTAACTCTCCAAAAGACTCGACTAAATCGGCAACGATAATGCATCTTAAATTGCGTAATATATTAATTGAAAATTAATAATAGTTATCGATTATTTAATATTTCGCGAAAATAAATAATTTATTAACCCCCAAAGAAATCTATTTCGATATTAAAATCAGGTGCCAAATGAAAATGAAAGATTGTTAAAAAACTTGGGTCAATCTCCACTTGAAATCTCCATAGCATTAGTTGACTTTGACCAAGAAGTCAACTTACAAAAAATACACAATATATATATATATATATATATATATATATATATATATATATATATATATATATATATATATATATATATATATATATATATATATATAGAAGGTTTGATTGAAGTAATTAGCAAAATGGGGGAGAAGAAGAAGAAAGACACATCAAATACAACGGTTTGTTTATCTTTAAAGAAATCTCTGCACTGCAAATCAGAGCCGTCGGATGTACATGATCCGACGGTTAAGAAAAAAGGCAGCTCTTGTTGTTTAGAGTCCATATCAAATTTGAAAAAATGTATGACCCATCGGAGCTGCAGGCGGCGGCGGCGGCCACCGGAAAACCCCGCCGCCAACTGTAGCCCAATATCCATCGGAAGCGGCGGCGGTGGCGGTGCATTTGTGGGGACACGTGGCACAAGAAATAGTGGAAATATTATTTTCACAGAAAATGAATTTTCAGAAATGTATACAAATGGTGAAAATGGTGGTGCTAAATGCCACACGTGTGGAGAGCAGTTTGTGAACTGGGAGAATCTTGAATCTCATCATCTCTCTAATCATGCTGGTAAGTTGATTAATATATTAATTAATGTCTCTAATTTAGTTGATTAAGCTAGTAGTTTTGAGTTTACTTTGAGGTAAAAATCGAACGGAGCGGATTGAAAAATATTCGGAAAGTTTTTGGTTTTTTTCTTTTTGAATTACGGAAGTGAAAAATAGATTCCAATTTCGGTTCTGACAATTTTGGAAAGTGAAAATTCATCCCGATTTTCATATTTTCGAAAATTGTTATGATTCATATATTTTGAAATTTTCAAAAAAAATGAAATTTACAAAGATGTTTTCACAAAATTTGGCCTCTTAATATACTTTCCACGCAGTAACCGAACTCACGGAAGACGATTCTTCAAGGAAAATAGTCGAAATCATCTGCGGATCGAGCAAGCTCAATCCCGAGAGTCGTTGCATTACAATAGAAAGGGTCTTGAAAATTCACAACACGCAAAAAACCCTAACTCGCTTCGAAGACTATAGGGAGATGGTGAAAACGAAGGCCAATGAACACCCCAACAAACATCCTCGTTGCTTAGCCGATGGCAACGAACTCATGATGTTTTACGGCACCATTCTAGAATGTTCTCTAGGCATCAACGGATCTTCCGGACTATGCGCGTCCGGAAGATGCTGCGTTTGCATCATTATCAGAAACGGATTCCCCGCGAAAAGGGAAATCAAATTAGGTGATCTAATGGGAGTTTCCGCGAGGAGGGAAATCAAATTAGGTGATCTAATGGGAGTTTCCGCGAACACGGATATCAAATTAGGTCAAATGGGAGTTTTCACGGCTTCAACGAGTGGAAGGGCGTTTGAGTCAATAGAGATCGACTGCGAGAACGAGCCTTTGGTGAGAAAAGCATTGATCGTGTGTAGGGTTATTGCCGGGAGGGTTCATTTGCCTTTGCGGAACATTCTAGAAAGTTCCAACTTATACGATTCGTTGGCCGATAAAGTAGGTAGTGATTCGGAAATCGAGGAGCTTTACTTGCTTAGCCCTAAGGCTCTTCTTCCTTGCTTTGTGGTGGTATGCAAAGCTTAAATGAACCCCAAAATTTGCAATTCATCCAATATGCTTTAAATTTTTATTGGTCAACTTTTTTTTTTCTAAAAACTTCAATACATAACTTGCAAAATGGAAATAAAATGACGAAAAACAAAACCCGCACGAGTTCGATTAAATGATGTAAAAATTACAGAACCTCGTCTCCTAAGTGTTGAGAGCTAACTCTTTCGATTTCTCTTTTACAGCTTTCTTCCAATTCTCCGCACTATCAATTACTTCTCCAGTCTTTATCAGATAGCGAACTCGTTTACCGTTTTCGAGGGTTTTATGACCGACCCTAGTCACCACATCTTTCTCTTTCGAATAAAGCATCACGTTTGAACTGTGAATTGGTGCTTCGACTTGAAAAAATATTTTCAATTCCAAATTATGTATCTATTATAATATTCTCGATGCAAAATTTCTTTTTATAGTTGGGAAGCAATGAGAATGTGAGTATAGCAAGCATAGGCGATATGGAAAGATGATAAATGAAACTAAAAATACTAACCTTTGAGACGATCAAAATCGGCTGCTCTTTCGATTTAACCTGGTACAGGAAAACCGAAAATTAGTACGACAAACAAAATTTGCTTAAGAATTCATATAAAATCAATGGAAACTACACACATTTGCAGCGAAAATATTGAAGTTGTATACATCAATCTATCTATTTCATGCAGAACTCAATATGCTAATCCTACAAACTTCAAAAATATTGAAAGAATTTATGGTCCCGAATTCATTTAATACAGAGATGTTATCTTAAGTGTTATGACACTTGAATAAACATGCAGCGGAAATATAAAGTCAATACTCAGATCTAAAAATGTTCACAAGTAAAACTTGTGAATTTGCCCTTTACAGGACGGAAAAATTATATTAAAACAGTATTACAAGAATACAAAGAGAAGATGTACGAAAACTTCTTCCTTATGAATGAATCATTAACATGATCATTCTTACATTCAAATCTAGAAACAAAAAGATAAATACTAAAAATTCTAGATTTCAAAGAATGTACTCGTGAGGAGTACGTAAAGAACTTCTTTCTTATGAATGAACCACTATCTTGATCATTCTTACAACCAAGTCTAGAAACATATATACTAAACAATCTAGACTACAAAGAATGTACTCATGAGGAGTACGTAAAGAATGTACTCATGAGGAGTACGTAAAACAGATTCTAAAAACACACTAAAAATCTCATGTATTCTTTTCAGCTCTCGGTTTTTATATCTTAGAATCCACAACTTTCCTTGAGTCTTGAAGTCGGTATTTATAGACATTCCAAGCTTCCACTCCTCAGCCCATGATCTGCAAGAAAACCAACTAAAAGAGCACTCAAGAACATGGGTTAGTGAGTTAGTTTAGTAGTTAAGATAATATCCACAATTTAACCCACTAAGCACTACTTAGCCCACTAAGCACTACTTAGCCCACTAAGCACTACTTAGCCCACTAAGCACTTAACCATAACTAAAATTTAGTTTGAAAAATAAGAGAGTTAAAAACATTATGAAAATCAACGTGTTTCAAATATCAAACCCAAAAACAAGAGATGACCCAAAAAATTTCAAAAAATCGAGATTAAAAAGTCGACTGAATCCAAAGATTCCACTCTCCAGTGTTCGAATTGGGCTCTGTTGTCCTAATTGGTCTACATTAACACAATTACCTCATCTACCCTTGAAGTCGATGATTCATTCCGATTTTTATTACAATGTCGGTATTTAAGAATTTCCGTACTAATTATTAAATCGAAAGCTAAGTGAAATAAAAAAAAAATACTAATTGTCACGGCCCGCCAGTTCGACCCAAACCTTTGCCAGTTTCTCTTGGGTTGGGAGGTTAAGAAGCCCAAGACTTAGCCCAAATAGGGTTAGACCCAAGTTGACCCAAAATGTATAGAGATATGTAGAGATTCTTGGAGGATTCTAGAAAGCTTTCTAGAACCATCCCATGTAGATATTTTGTAGAAATATTTTGGAGTGTACTAGTGAACAACTCTTAGCCGTTAGATCAAATACATCTACACCATCCATTAATGAGGTGACCTAGTATAAATAGGGGTAGGGTCCTCATTTGTAATCATCCAACAAAAATCCAACATCCAAGTACTTAAGCAATAAAACTCATTCGTAATCATCCAACAAAAATCCAACATCTTTCCATCACTTAGCATTCACAACACATTCGGAAGAGGCTGAAGGGAACAAGTCCGTGACATAATACACTTTAACAATCTGTATAAAATCAACCATTCAACCGAACTTTATGAAAACTTTACAATAACTTAGAATTAGAAGTAAAATTTCTTAATATTCTTGGAAAGCAACATATCGTAAAACAGACGATAGAACTCGAGCCATAACACTGCCGGTCAGTTAGTTAAAATTTCAAATTGCGTAATATATAATTATATATAAATTTATAATATTTTTTAGGAAAATGTTGTTGGTATACTTTATAGGGTAAATCACGGCCATCCCTGAGGTACGGTCAAATTACGAAAACCTCCCTCTTGTTTGGTTAATTACAATCACCCCTCAACTATGGAACTTAAAGTCGTATCTCTATTCGGAACAAGGTTTCTTAAATTTTGTTTGGTGATGCTTTGAAACAATTGCTTGTTTTTTTTTCCATTTGAATATATTATTATATGCTCCCGAATTATCTCTCACGTACTTTTCTATATATGGTTTTCTGTATTGGCAGAATGTAAAAAGATTTAGGACCAAGCTGTTTAACCGGATTGACGAGATGATTATTTTTTATCCACTTTAACCCGAGCATGGAAGAATTCGTTGGATTTTTCAACGCGATTTATGTTACTCGGCGTATCTAATTGCAGTGTATTGGCATCGCGACAGTGTAAGCTCTTCTGCTACTTCCTATGTTTCTGCAATTCGTGTTTTATATGTTTTGTCAAGTGAAAGTTGCGTTTTTAAGCTTTTGCAAATGATGCCGATTGAATTAAGTAACTTTGTAGAGATGTGAAGCATTAGTGTATGGTCCACAAGGATGTGATTCAGGAAAGGTATTGAATGGATGTCAAAAAAATCCTCTTTTGGATTTTTCCTCTTTGCTTTCTAGTTATCTTCAATCTTGTACAAATTATTTTGGAGATTTCTCTGATGAGTAGATTGGTAAATCTCTCTCTCTCTCTCTCTCTCTCCACCTATTCACAGACAAAGTCGCGTGCGAAGAGCAAGAATAAATAATCGAGCATTTTCGGTTCCTATACATTTCTGGAGAGGAACACGAACATATGGTAATGGAGGAAGCTCTTCTCACCATAAGAGACCTGTTTGTATCGGAAACGGAGAAGGCGAGATACTGTACGATGAATTCGATCTGCGTCGATGCCACATTTCCGATGGACTTGTTATCCAGCCTCTAGTACCCGAAAGAGTTGATATCGATGCCGAGAAGACCCGTACAACTTTTATCTTTCGTTTTTAGATGTTGTTTTAAGAATCCACTGTTTTACTTCCTAGTTTGTGCTGGATGATTTGCTTTCAAACCTTGCTTTTTGGAGCTACTACTATGGGATTCATGTTATCCGTTTTTCTGTTCATGCATTGTTCGTTTTTTTTTTTTGTCAAATATTAGGACTCGTTTGGTTGCTAAGATAAGGTGGGTCTATCCATAAAGTTATCGAAAATAGCAAACATCAAACAAAATCCAATTATTCAATTAATAATGACTAATTCCCGGCCAAACGAGGCATTAGTTTACCGGGTGTAGCATCATAACAAGCCGGTATTCTAATTATCAAATACTAATTATGCGCGTGTGTTGCACCGGTAACTGTTTTCAAATTAATATATATATATATATATATATTCGCTTAAAGTTATAAAAGAATCGTTGTGCAAGCATCCGATTCTGCACTAGATGCGTAATTCTGCGATATCATCAGCAAATTGCACTTGTCGGAATTAATGAACTTTCGTGTAGGTTTTGGCCCAAGAGACCCAATTACTTTGAAGTCAGATTTATTTCAAGAAACCACATGGTATCATGTTTTCGACATTTAACACATTATTACTAAAATTTATAATGTATAAAATATAATTTAAAAGCTTCATTTTCAACATATACCAGAGAAAAAACAACAGATTAATAACACACATCTTCACAATCATATCCAGTATGCTTTAAAATTTTAATTTGGCCAACTTTTTTTTTCTTTCTAAAAAAGTTCAAACTAAGAACTCAACAGAGTGCCCAGAGCAACTTCGATACATAAATTGCAAAAAGGAATTAAACTGACGTAAATGAAAACCTGCATGAGTTCAATTAAATGATGTAAAAATTACAGAAACTCGTCTCCTAAGCGTTGAGAGCTAATTCTGTCGATTTCTCTTTTACAGCTTTCTTCCAATTCTCTGCACTATCAATAACTTCTCCGGTCTTTATCAGATAACGAACTCGTTTACCGTTTTCGAGGGTTTTATGACCGACCCTACTCACCACATCTTTCTCTTTCGAATAAAGCATCACGTTTGAACTGTGAATTGGTGCTTCGATCTGAAAATTACTTTCAATTTCAAATTATGTTTATATATATATATATATATATATATATATATATATATATATATATATATATATATATATATATATATATATATATA